ATTCAAACAATCATCATTAACAATCCAATAATTTAGATGAAAATGAGGGGCTTAGGATTGATAACCCTACTTCGTGTACCTTCACAGGGAAATGTCTTTCCACGAAGAAAGTCGTCAGTCTTCTCATGAATAAGCAGTATCTCGGAGATTTGGTGCATGGACGGTGTGTTTTGGGGAAAATAATGGCCTTCATGCGCCTGCTGACTCTGAGCTGTCAAAATATTATCTTTTTTTTTTTTGTCTTCGCCTTTTTAGACTATACGGGTGTTTTCCTGGGCCAGCGGGTTAGGACGGAGGATTAATACCAAAGTAAAAGATCCTCTCGGCAACGGGTCGCGAACTCGTAATTCATTTAATCAAATTATCTTATATATCAGGTATACCGCTCGGCCACTCATGAGAGCAGCCAATATTTATGAGTATAGACCAATTTGTCTAGATTTCTCTATCATAAATTTTTCTAAGCTGTGTATGTTGGGAAGAGCACCGCTAGATTGGCCCAAAGTAATCGACGTTCTATATGTGACATGTCCTTACAACATTGACATCATGATGTTCTGTTGCAACGTGAGGTTGGGCGACTTTCACCAGGCGATCTGTGCTCCCACAAATAAAATACTTCTTCAGTAATAGCGTGGCCTAAGATCTACTACATGTTCTATGTTCAATGTTCAATGTTCTATTATTGCGCCATCAAGAAAGAAAATAGATGACATACACATCATAAATTATATTTGTAATATTATATGAAATATCATAGGTTAAATATTTTTTTAGTTTTCTTATATTATTCATTACATTAATCTGCTGTCAATCGTTTTGTTTTAATTTTTAAGTATATTACATATCTGAAATAAAAGCTTTAATGAAATCCTGTGCTTTTTAAAATCTAATATTTCTAGCCTTACATATTTCCAAACTTCTTATAAGATAATATTGAAGGATTAATTATCAATTAATATAATTGATAATGATTGATAGAATTTAAAATTTAGAATTAGAAACCTCAATACTTTAAACACCTGAGTTTTTCGAGTTTGGAGAATTCGAATTCAATGTGCAACCATAAAATTACATACATTTGTAATTAAATAATGACAACAACAAAACTTTATTTGATGTAGAGATGGTTGACCGTTAATATAATATGAGAAGGAGTTAGTCGAGGGTGCGGTCAAATAAATAAAAAATTAAAATATATAAATTATTTTCTTCACAATTTCTTCAATTTCAATCTCAATTCATCAATTTCAATTTCTTCACAATCTTCAATTTCTTCACTTCTTAACCTTTAGTCCCGTTATCTGTTACAATTAAAGGTAACCTCCACTTGCTTGTTATTCACTGATATCTTATTATTATGTTATCTTATCCATATTTTAATTTTACTGTAACAATAGTTATTCAATTTTCAATCTATTTATTCGTTAACATTCATGTATTTATTTTCTTTTATCTATTTTCTTATCATGTATTTATTTTCTTTATATTTTATTTCTGTATCAGACAACTTCTTCGTATTTTATATATACTTATGTTTATTTTTTATTTTATTTTTATTTTTTCAACATGTTTGTATCTTTTGTAGCCCTGAAGACGACCTGCAAAGTGGGTCGAAACGTCGACAAAATTAAAATAATTTATATATTTTAATTTTTTATTTATTTGACCGCACCCTCGACTAACTCCTTCTCACAAAACTTTATTTGGTTTAATGTATTTCGACTGTTAATGTATTCGACATTTCGATCGTTCTACTAGATACCAAATTAATCTACCCAATCTGAGTATTTATTCTGTAGAATAGTATACTTAATGCATGACATTTTTAATTTTCAATATCAATTACACAAAATTATTTATAAAAAAATTCAAATGCCAATTAAAAAATTGAAGTTTAAAGTCGAACAGTTTCTATATCGTTTACCGTGTGTCAGCTCTTATTTATTTATTTTGACATGATTTATTAATTAGGAATTTATGAATGTAAAGTTATTTTCGTGGTCCGATTTAGCTAAAGCATTTTTATCTGCAGATATAAGAACTGGAATGAAGTTGAATAACGCGCATGAAGATATTTTTACCCCATTTCTGACGGAAAAATAAACATACATAATTTAAATAATAAAAAATAGAACAAATAAAAATTTCGTTCAAGAATACAATAACCGATGAACAAGACAACAATCGGAAAACAAATACGATGCCTGCAAATTGAAACAAAAGAAGAAATTCCATCCACTCTTTGCCTTGGCCTAAATAAGTCGAATAACTTAGTCCGGGTGGGAGCCATCATTCTCAGGTTCCTGCAGTAGAATGTGATAAAGCAGTGTCCTGGTTTATCTCACATTCACACCCTCCTTCTGGGTCAGCAGTAAACATATATTTCTTTGCATACTACCTAATCGATAGCGTACTTAGGTTTGATTAAAATAAATAAATGTATAGAAATTTAGAAAATATTTTAAAATCCAGAGCATGGAATATAATTAAAATCATATTATTACTTTAAGACATGATGAATGATTGCTCATCCTTTACAAAGTACCTCGTCCCCACAAGATGCGGAAAAAGTAATGTGGCTACAACGTGAAGCAACCAGTTTTATAGTAAGAAAGTTTGCAACATCTTCTGCAAGTACTCCTCGTACGACAGTGGTTGCAATTTTTACGCATCTGTGAGGTTATGAGACTTTAGCAATGTCGTATGCAGTCGACATCGCTGTGGTCCGAATGTAACTTAATGCTCTAGCACCAGATTGCGAAATCTTTTTGAAGTGAAAACTTCTTTGGACGCATTTGACACTTTTTTTTGTGGAGATTGAATTAGATTGGGCCGTCAAAACGCTGATATGTAACGCTCGGGCAAAGTAGGCCGTAGTTAACTAAATTTAAGTGTTTTTGCATATGGACTAAAATATCTCAAAAACTAATAATCGAACCTGCATATTGTAAAGAGAATGTTCATCATTTCATCCTCTTTAAAATGAGCTATTATCTAAACGCGACGCTGTTAGAGAGGTGCAATGGAAAAAATAGTGTAGAAACAAATTATGACGAGTTTTATTGATGATATGGATTAAAATATCTCAAAACTAAAAATCAAACCTGAATACTGTAAGCGAGGGAATCGTTCAGCATTTCATCCTCTCTTTATTGGGATATTATTAAAAATAGTATCTTAACACGACGCCGTGTTATAGAGCAAAAAAAAAATAGTGTCGAAAACCTAATGATAAAGAGTTTTATGGAAGATATGGATTAAAAATATCTCAATGCAATGGAAGTATGTCAGAAATTAAAAACCGGACTTGTATACTATAAGAGAGGGGAACGTTCAGCATTTCATCTTCTTTGTAATGAGTTAAGATTTATAACTAATATTTTATGTTATTAATCTTGCCTTGTTTATATTTTCACTTTTTTTCGTGTGGTTTGAAGAAAACAATTTAGTTTTCTTAGGCATCGTATTTGTTTTCCGATTGTTGTCGTGTTCATCAGTTATTATATTCTTGAACGAAATCATTTTTTTCTATTTTTATTTATTTAAATTATTTATTATGTAGTTTTCGGTCAGAAATGGGATAACTCATCTCGTTTTGTAATTAAGCTTATGTATTAATTAACATGATCAGTGAAGGAGATTCCGTATCCCGCTTTTTCATTAAGATTTGGATTGCTAACAGGAGTTTTGTTTTGATGGTGTATTATTTTATCCTGTTAATGTTTAATGGAATCGTTCTGTTCATTTAATTCCTCCAATTTTTTCTTACTTTAGTAAAGACAAACATAATGTGTGAATTTTAATCGGTTATCAGACGGCTTGAACAATAGTAGTAATGTTTAAAATTAGAAAATTTGTATTTTGCCTACTGGAAACTGCTGATTCTTCAAATATCTTGTTGGGAGAGGTCTTGTTGTAATGTTTAAAATAGGAAAATTTGTATTTTCCATACTTGGGACTGTTGAGTTCCATGTAACTTACTGAGAGAGCCTCGGCCTGGACAGTTAGTGTCACTAAGCTACTGTTTTTTTGTTTATTTAGTACTTTTTGAATATATGATTGTTTAATTGAATTTAATTTAATTTTTAATAACTGCCGATGTTTGTTTGTCCCGCTGTAAATAATTTCCATTTATTAAAGAATGGAATATTCATAGCCCCATCTCAAGTTACTTGAAAAAAGGAAACAGTGGAATGGTGACGATAACGAATCATCAGTACGAAAATTCCTGTTGTTGAGACTGTAATCCTCAAATGTTTAAAAATAATAAATTACTTATCAATGAAAAATCTTAATATCTTCTAAACAACCTATGCTCATTGAATCATGTTATAAAAAAATTAATGCTGCAAAGCCCTTTTTCATTCAGTTTTTGTTTATTTTTCTCATATTGTATTTTATCATTGTGATTAATTAGAATTATACTCTTAATTGTGCTTATTAAACTTCAGTATGTAATAATCTTTTCCACCGTTGTTCAATATTATCAATGTACACAATGTATTCGCATTTTTTTTCAATTGATTTTCGCCTACTAATGTTTAAATATACTATCACTGCGGTTCAATAAAAAGAGTGTTTTACAACATAATTCTTCTTACTTATCCAATTTCAATATTGTTGGGGTTTGGATGTCGCAGAACGATTCCAGAAAGAATAAGGAGATTCCTGGAGGAACTAGGTGTTAACGTTGGAGAGCTTGCAATATTAGATAAAAACACTATTCTGGACTTCATTGGGATCATCCAGTACCACAAATATAGTATAGTATTAATAATGACAGTGTGGTATAGTATTGATATTATTAATGTTAAGAGATATGAAAAGGAAGAAAAAGAGATCTATATATATACAAAAATTAAATAATGAATAATTATTAATAGTGTCTAAAAAGGAAGTATGCTACGTATTGAGCAGTCTTCTGTAGTGGCTCATCACTGATTTGATTAAAGTATTTATCTCTCTAGCTGATATCCGATTATATTATTCTGTTCCAGGTACTGCTCACTACCTCCCAACTCGATCCACATGCTGTCCCTGCTGATTGAGAGCAAGGTACGGCTACCGGATTACGGCCCCACCCACAGCCGATCCGCCAAGCGGGAGGTCCTTCGTACACAGGGAGAACGCCAGTTTTTCCTTTCCATCGTCAGGGACGTTGCCACTGAGCTTGATCCCAAGTCCCTTTCGTCTAAAGTGGTTGACAACCTCGCAGTTCTGCTAGACGCTGATGGAGCGTCGCTCTTCCTTGTCGAAGGACCGCGGGGCAAGCAGACTCTTGTCTCCAAGGTGTTCGACGTTCATTCTGGAGTTTTCCTGCTTCCAGGCGGAACTGATGACAACGAGGTGCAGGTTCCTTGGGGTGTGGGCGTTCTTGGGCACGTAGCAGAGACTGGGGAAACTGTCAACCTGCAAGTCGCCTGTGAGGTAAGAACTTATTTCTTATTTATATTGACATTAATTCATTCATTATACATTAATTCATAAGGCTCGATACAGAATCCCACGATAACCCAGTGCACGTCTAGAACCCACTAGCACACACAAAGCACTCTAGTACCGAAAGGATGGCCATGCATTTCCTTATCTTTTAAACATATTATTTTAATTTGGCAAAGAACTAGTCGAGCTTAACTTGATTTACATATATATATTTTTTTTGCTCAATGGTAACACCCTATTTTATTCTTCACTTATTGCTAAATACTATAAATTTTTAAACTAATTATCTCATAATAATTTTAGTTGGTAACATGTTCTCATTTACGAAGGAAATATAATTATTGATGTTTGGTTCCTATGGATTTTCGTTATTTGAACTATCTGAAACTTATGGTTTGTATAAACATAAACCATATCACAAGTCACTAAATAATGAACAATTGTAGGAAAATTAAGATTACTGTTAAGTTCTCTCACGATTTAGGATAAAACATAGGATGAAACTTAACTAACATATAGAATAGAATAGAATAGAAAAATAATTTTATTCTGGGACGAAGTCCCTTCAGAATAACAAAAAAAGTACAGAAATTAAAATTTTTACATCTGGCCAGATAAAAACAAACCATATGCTAGAAAAAAGGAAGTAATTATAAAATATAAATAATGGGCTGTATAATATAGAACACAACAAAACCTGAACAACTTTTATATTTTTCGTGACAATAAAAAATAATAATAATGAAGAAATAAATGAAATTAATTTTTACATTTAATCGATAGTAAAATAACAACTGCTAACAAAGAATATTAAAGATAACTAAAGATAAATATTGAATAAAATAAATGATATTTATCTCTACGAAACTATCAATAATTCTATTTCTAGTGTACCTAAACTAATGCTACAATAAACAAATATATTACCATTATTAATGAGGCTATATAAAACAGAAAACAAAATTTGAACATCTTAACGTAGTCGCGCTCAAGTGACGGTCAATAGAACCACAGGTAATCTTGTCTTCTTACGGCTACTTGATATAGGGTAGTTTATGAACGCTTAAACTATTATCTAAAACTGTAAATGGGTAGTAGAAAAGTGACACAATGATGGACTGTTGCAGAATTCATAAATCCGCAATCGGGCTGTAAAGCAGTGGGCAACTCTCAGCTCAACATAATCTCCGTAATATGCTGACGATGTCCACAGCTTAGCAACAAGGCATAGCACTTGTTTGTATGTAAGGCTGTAATACATTTATAATAATCACTATAATGCACTCTATAACAATCTAGCCTACAAAATACAACTAAAAGTACATCACCAATTAAAACAGTTGATTTGATTTTGTTTTTACATTTTAAATATATTTTTTTTAATCTTTTTTATTCACACCTGTCATAATGGTAATGACAACCAGTGAATGTGAGGTCGATTGATAAATATAATGTCATGAAATTTAATATTTAAAATTAATGAAATTAAAACAAACCAAAGTTAACTTTTGAAAGAAATTAATGTCTATAAACACTTAAATGTATGCCTCGCTGGTCTGTATAATAAAAATCTAGTGCGGGCAACACACAACTTTCACTTACCTCTCTACTTTGAATAGAAATTATTTTCTGGCCATGTTGGCCATTATAAAAATGACTATTATAAAAATCTTTAATTGCATTTTTAACTGAGGTGAAGCAAAAAGATTACGGCTTACAAATCATAAACACTATTAAAATAACAAAAGTCCTATTTATTATATCATCGCTTTATTATGGATTGTACGATTCACTGATTATCAATTTTTCGATCCGTTGGTGATGGATTGTACGACTATTAGTTATTAAACTGATATTTTCCATTGCAAAGTTTATTGAAACTGAATCAACAGATTTGCATTGTCTGTCATAGACAGGTCAAAAGTTGTCACACTGATTGTAAGTGAATTCTGTTGGAATATCGCAAAGGAAAAATTTGTCAAATTATTCACTAATTTAATTTTTTAAAAGGTTACATAATGATTTTTCGGAATAAACAGCCGATAGATACATAATTATTTAAATATAATATCAGATCTAGAGTTATTAAACTACAGTAAATATATTTAAGGTAATAAACGTACCTATAAAATATTTTTATACTTCACTTCTTCCTTCACTCCAGTACAATGATATAGTATCTTCAACAATGTCATTGCCTCGAATCCGTAGGTTTTAAATATTTTTTCAAATTAAAAAAAAAAAGTCACCTTTTGACTGTTATTTCCGAATATTCGTTTCCAACCTGGATAAGCATTTTTCTTTTTTCTCCTTTATTTAATAATCAAATTCTTCTGAAAGTTATATTCAAAATTTTTCCATAACAATGTCATTGCATTGATTAGGTGGATTTTAAATACTTATTATAAACTTAAAGATATTTTTTAAAGTCTACATTTAGTAAGTAAATTTCCTTGAAAACATGTGGTGTACGTTAAATATTATTAATTTTCAAAAATTATTACTTATAATTTTTTCTCCACTCCGTTTTCTTTTGCAAATTTCAATATTAGATATTATTTTTTTTTGTAAAATTCTCCACTTTCCAACGATATGTTATAAGTTTTAATAATTTTTAATAATGAGAGAAAGTTAATTATTTAAAATTAACCATATTAAAGGTACTTTCGAGGAAGGCATTTAAGCCCTGTAAAGTGACATAAATGGGGATAAGACCTAAATGGTATTAAAGACCACTTAATTATACAATGATACATCGAGATTAATCAAAATAGTCAGAGCCGTCCGTCTTTGATACACATACACACAGAGATCATTTGGTGGGACTTGGTTATTTGAACTCAAGGTACCCCAAAAAGTGTATTTCCGTTGAAAACCCAGATTCGAAATTTTTCACGATCGCGATACTTACACTTACTATGCATTACATAAATAGGTAAGTGAAAATAAAAATCTGGTGCGGGCAACACACAACTTCCGCTTACCCCTCTACTTTGAATAGAAATTATTTTATGGCAACGTTGGAGTATTATATTTTTTTTTTAATTTAATTTTAAACGGAACTAAAGTTTAAAGCTTACAAATAACAAATCATTGAGACCATTAAAATTACTCAGGTTTGAAAATTTTAACGATTGCAATACTTATATATTTCATATATACATGAAATATATTTTTATATATTATTATCATGTATATATAAATATATATTTGATTTTCATATATATATATATATATATATATCCTCGCGCGGGCTCATTACCGCGTATGGGGAACGTCCCACGGGTGGCGGATGTGGGGATGGTCGGTGGAAATTCCTTGGAAGTTCCTCCCGGCTAAGTCCGATGGACTCGCTGACCAACAATGAGAGGGGCTCTCCAGACTTACTGGAGGGAGGGGACCTCCAGACTTGCTGGAGGTAGGGGCCTTCCAGACTTGCTGGAGGGTGTGACGTAGGATTGAACGCCCTACTCCTCACATATCTTTAGTTCACCAAACACCACAATAAGTCATGGATCTCCCTAAGGTAAAACGCTCATTATCCGGAAGTAAACTAGTCCCCCGTTCGGGTCTCCGGGCGGGGACTGCTTTAGGGAATTCATGGCGCAAGTTGAAATATAGGGATTTAAATATTGGTACGTGGAACGTAAGGAGTTTAAACACAGCAGGGGGGCTAAAATCGGTCGCGAATGAGGTAAATGGGTACAATTTGGATGTCGTGGCTCTGCAAGAGGTTCGCTGGCCAGGGGAGGGCTCGATGAGGGAAGGAAAGTACACTATTTGGTACGGAGGAAGTGGGAATCATTGTTTAGGTACCGGGTTTCTAATTAGGAGTAGATTACTATCCGCTTTGAGCGACGTACAATTCTTTAGTGATAGAATTTCGGTAGCTACATTTCAGGGACGTTGGTTTAAAATCGCATTATTAAACATACATTGTCCGACCGAAGACAGTGACGATGAAGTCAAAAGTGAATTTTACGATAAACTCGAATGGGTTTATGATAAACTACCGCGAAACTATATGAAAATAATTGTAGGTGACGCGAACGCAAAGGTAGGAAGGGAAGAAGTTTATATTCCGACGATTGGTAAAGAAAGTTTGCACGAATATAGTAATGATAATGGGATCCGTCTGATAAACTTTGCCATCTCGAAAAACCTTATAATTAAAAGTACGACGTTTAAACATAAGGATATTCATAAATATACTTGGACATCACCGGATTCGCAAACACGAAATCAAATCGATCATGTCTTGATACAACACAGCTGGCAAAGCAGTATAATCAATGTACGGTCTTATCGCGGAGCAGAATGTGGGTCGGATCATGAATTAGTAATCGCGAAACTTCGACAAAAACTTAATATAAAAAAGAGAAAAGAAAACCGTTTCGATTTTGAGAATTTTAATTTGGAAAAATTAAAAAATCCATCAATTAGAAACCAATTCGAGCTAGATGTTAAGAATAGGTTTGAAGCTTTAGAGCTTCCTGACGAGGACCACGAGGATATTGACAAGTTATGGGTAGAGATCAGGGATAATATTAAAGCGGTCGGTAACTCGTGTCTAGGAAAAAAGGAAAATAAGAATAACAAACCGTGGTTTGATGAAGATTGCTTAAACATGTGCGAAAAAAGAAAAGCCGCTAAATTAAAAGCTCTAAATAATCCTAGCGAAGACAATCTGGAATACTTCCGAATCTCAAAGAACGAAACGACAAAATTGCTCAAAAATAAAAAAAGGGAGTATCTTAAAAATAAAATAATTGAAATAGAAACTAATAGAATCGAAAATAACGTAAGAGACATGTACAAAGGTATAAACAGATCACGTAAATATGTAGGGCCCGTAACGTCTGGAATTAGGGATGATAATAACAATATTCTGACCGATCCGGTTGACATATTGAATAAGTTTAAGGACCACTTTGACAATATTTTAAATACGGGAAATTATGATCTGTGTCCTCCTTCTGAGTACC